GCATGAAGGCCTTGTCCCCTTCCCTGGCTGGGCGAGATCAGGACAGCTGAGACGTTTTCATCTGTTTCTGTCGCTTTTTCAGGATATCAGTTCGAAGTTGCAGAGCTCTCCTTTTGTTTTTTTTCCTTAAAAACATGCGAAGTTGGAGGTTTGTCTGTGAGTCGTTTTCTTATTTCACTTCAGATAAACAAAGGGATGGTATCTACGAGTAACTGGAGTTTTCCTCGGACTGATGTATCTGCCGCCTTCCGCCGTGCCGCGTTGACGGTACTGTACCCTCGTGAATCCACTGTGCCCCCTTCTCCCCACCCCCCTGCCCCCGTCGGCTTACGCCACCTCCCTCCACCTTGCATTGGCACTGTGTGCCTGAACGACCGCAGCGCCTGGCCGCTATTGCCGAGCCTTCACCGCAGCCAGTAGCAACAGCAGCAGCAGCAGCAGCAGCAGCAGCGGCGGCGGCATCATCGTCCAGCGGCGGCGGCGGTGGCGGGGGTGTATCGCTGGAAGCCAGCGTGCGTTTGGCGGGGGTGGGCGTCTCGGTGATTGACTCTTATCCTAGGGAGTTGCTGTACCTGACGGTGGGGGACATCGCGCTAGACTATCTTCGGGAAGGGCAGGTGAGGAAGGCGGTTGGTGTCTGTTGATGCCAGGAGAGAATCAAGGATGAAGGGGAGATAGGAAGGTAAGCGGGGGGGGTTGTGAGCGGGTCAAGGGTTTTGTCGCGTTTGCTGAGAATGGCTAGAGGCTGGGGGGACAGGAATACAGGGGGAGACACAGGGTAGACAGGTGCTGGTTTGGTTGTAAGGGTGAGGGCCTAAGGCTGCTGCTTCTGTAGACGACGTGGTCCCCAAGCTCGTAGCGTACGGGCATAGAGAGGAACACCGAGCGGCACACGGGGGAGAGACCTTTTCCCCTTTCGTAGTGGCCGTCTGTCACCTGCCTGCTGCAAGTCCCGAGACTGGTCGGCGGCGGCGGCGGCAGCGGCGGCGGTCCAATGTGGCATGTTGCGTGTTCTCACTCCTTGATCTGCTTGACCGCTTCCTGCCTGTACCTGCTGTGTGCGCGTCGTCGCACGTTTACTATGATCCTTCTGCTGCTGCTGCTGCTCGTTGGATTCTTGTTGTTCCAGAGCGAACGAGTGCGTGCGAACATCGGCAAGCTCCAGGTGAGGCATGGCATGCACTGCACAGAACGATTGGCGGTGGGCGGGAAACGTGTGCCGCCCGTGAGGGCGGGAGTTACTTTCGGAGCGCTACAGTAGAGGTCCAGAAGAGATCTAGCTCTGCCTGTGTAGGTACCGAGTCGGAGCATCTGGCAGCGAGCGAGCTACTCTCAAGTATTTCCGAGCCATCATCAATCAGATCATCAATACCTCGAGGCTTTTTTTACAGCAGGACCGGGTTTTGTGTCCACAATAGCGTCACGACACCATCTTCTGTCCTGCTGTGTTTGGCAACAACACGCCTGCTGAAAAATCGGGCTCTCGCAGCAAGCGACTCGCTTTCCCTGCCCGAAACGGTCTTCTTTTTTTCGAGCGAAGCAACGTCGTTCGCTGCAACCAATCGTCGATACAATCGTCGATATCCCCCCGCCCCTCTATCGTCCCCCCCGGTGTTTACCATCGGGGTTGGGTTTTCGTCGCTTGGCAACGACGTTGTAAAACAAGCCATTTCACTTCGTGAGCTCGGCAACCAGGTTACCATTTATTTTTTTACCTCTGTTTTTTCTTTGAGATAACCGTAATGGTGGTCGAGTAGATCATGTTGTGCGGGGTCGAGAACCCTCACTCCGCGCAAGGGGGATGATCGCACCACGTTGTGTT